ATCATTCTGCCCAAGGCTTTGCCCAATATTAACATCCAGCTAACAGCCTGTAGTTTCGTGGGTTTTCCTTCTTCTCTTTGTGAAGATGGTGACAATAAATATTTTCAATAATTCCAAAGAATTCTAAATGAAATAAAAGACATAAAGAAGATGTATCATCCTGGGGATCATTTTTCATCAAAAGAAAATATTTCTTTACCCAAGATATAATTCACAAAGAGAATTTGAGCTGTCATCGGATGTGCTGATGATAGATAGTTTGGAGTGATGCTTCAAAAATGGGAAGTTTTATTTTAACAGAGATGTTTATATCTGAGTACATGAAACATCAAAGTTTTGAGTTGTGATATTGCTGACTTCTACTTTCTGGGGAAAAATGAAGACAAGAGCAGTTTTATATATGAACATATAACATTGCAATATATGGAATCCAATATAGGCCCATCTAACTTTATATGGTTAACACAACTCTATGTAGTTTCAGAGAGAAATTGTTCCAGCCATATTTAAAGATGTTTATACCATGTTTTCCCTCAAATAAGACCAGTCTTATATTAATTTGTGCTCCAAACGATGCATTAGGGCTTATATTCCAGTTATTTCCAGGGGAATACAGTACTAAATGTGTCTGTCTGATTGACGATCTTACCTGGGGTTTATTTTTGAGGTAGGATTTATATCCTGAAAATTCATGCTAGGGCCTATTTTTCAGTTGGGTCTTATTTTCAAGGAAACAGGGTACTAACTCATTTTGTTTAATTTAGCTTCTTGTAGACATCTGAGTCGATGCTATGAGTAAAAGGATGCTATTGGCCTGTGGCAAACTATGACAATAGCCATGACCAGGGGAGCTTTTACAGAACGTTGTGTTGGGTATTACTTGTATGATTTCCTAGATCAGGAGGCACTGTATGGTCACTCATGCTTTGATCGTCTTTTGAAGGGGCTACTTAAGTCCACTGTATTTGGGGTTGCCCTTGAAGAACATCTGGAAGATGTCCAAAATGTGATAGTACTGGGAAACATGGCTGTTTCTTAATTCATGTTGATACCATTTGCTTCATGCAATGCACTGATTCGTAATCAAGTACATATCAAGGGGGTGATCCTCACCCACAGTATATAGTTCTTCATGGCCTGGGGCCAAAATACTCAAAAGACCTACTGCCTCTACCTGTCCCTACTCTACCCTTATTAATTCTGCTGGTGGTTCTGTCAAATAAAGAATGCCATCCCAAAGAACCCAGGAACTGTGCTTTTTCTGTCACGGAACACCTTACCACCAGAGATCAGAATTAAGATCAGGCATTTGAATCACACAATTAACAAAGCTCACAGGGTTTGCTCACAGGAGGCTTTTACCCCTGGCTGCCATTTTTCTTTTTTATCTTGATTACGTGTGATATTTTTACAATTATTTATACTATTGTTATTGAAACTGCTGTTCAGAGTTGCTTCGGTGAGATGAGGGGCCATATAGACAGAAATAAAGACAAACAAATAAATATTGATCCAGCTCAACTTCTTATCATTTTAAATATTCTTACTAGGAAAGCTTACTAGGAATATCTTGGAATATCTGGGAATGCTTTTTTTCTACATTTCTGTGGCCTTAAGTTTTCTGTGCTCTGGAGATATATGCTGTATGAAATACCTTAGCCACACAAAAACAGTGAGTATGAAATGCACAATCAACTGCTAGTTGAAAAATAATTACACACACTTATTCATTTGTCGTCATTTACGTTTATTCAAAGAACCCCTAGTAATACAAATAAAGGGTTAAAATGACCTTTCAAGAACAAAGTCAGCTGTAATCCATGTTCAGATGAATTGTCCCTCCGACATTTCACTTGCTTTTTATTTGCAGTTTTATAACAGAGTGAACATTCCTTCTGTACTTGTTGCCTAGTCTACCTCTCTCCCACAGAAGAAACACACACACATGCACACACACACACACACACACACACACACACACAAAACTAATGATCCCAATATTGAGTTCAATTCAAACCCAGACCATCATTATAGAGTTCAGCGTCCAAACCTATTCATCTCTAGCTCAACCCTTCAATTAAGTGGAATGATCCAAAACTTTGGGCACTAAAACAGCTCTTTATGTTTGAAAGTGACATCTGTGACTAGGGAAATGGTTGAAGTTTGGAGATTTTTCTGGTAAGAGTCCACTTGCTGACATCATGCAAGGAAAGCGCTGATTGGCTGGTGGAGGGTAAAAATAGTGTGCGTATCCCAGTAGGTTGGCCAAGAACAAACAGATGCTCTGTTAAATCTCTGTTCCCTGACTCCTTGGAGACCGATCTCCATCCTGCAGGACTGCAGCCTGGTAAGTGACGGGCAATTATATTGGTTCTTTGCAAGCAATGAAGTTTCTGACATTGCTTAATCCATGCAATTTTTGATTTTTGACTCTGTTTTTAAGATAGTATTTTTGCTTTGCAGTTATGAATTTCTCATTACTTCTGTGATTTAAAACAGTGATTTATCGAGCCACTATATTTTGCTTGCTGTATTTCCATTAGATTAATAAGGCTGGGATTTTACACTGTAACAACCATAACACAGAGACAGTCTAGTTTTTCCTTTTCTTTAAAACACTTAGCTAGATTTAATTTAGAATGATTTCTCTCAGGAACTGGGGAAAGGGCATGGTGATGGAAAGAGAGATGATTTTATAGAGTCAACATTATTATAACAAAGAAACTTGGTATTTAGTCAATACACTGTGTTTTTATGGCACTTCTCCTGCATTAACTAAGGATGAGGCAGGTTGTAGTCTTCCAAAATTACTAAACTCCAACATTGAGCAGTTAACACGGTCCATAATAATAATAGGAATTGCTATCCATCTGGAGGGCCAAATTGGGCCTCCCCACCGCCTTCTTTGATGAATAAACTCCTAAACATAGTTCTCTATAATGCAGATAGAGATGAACCCAATACATTTCATAGTCCACAAAATTATTGTTCAAATGTTCCCCAGTCATGAAATTATTAAAGATCATTTGTCTGCTACACAAAGATAATGCGTACAACATGGAATTTGTAGCTAACTGTTCGTGTAGTAGAAACAAAAATATAAATATGGATGTCACCAATTAAATATATTGCTTATGTTAGGCCTTGGAATATTTTCTAGAAGGTCTGAATATAGTTAAAACTAACCATTATATATGTTCATATTCTTTTATAGACTTTATATGCTTCACTGAATTTTGTTTCTTTCAACTTGTTTAAATACAAATTGTAACAAAGCACATTAGGTATGGATTAACATGGCACTCTTTTAACAAGGTTTATTCCACTTACAGATACTTTTACTTAAATAAAGCTGTCACTAGCCCTAATGAAGCTGGCAAAATTGTTCCAGGGCAGCTTCATGAACAAATTCTGAAATTTAATGGATAATTTTTAGCAACAGAGAAATGGCATGCAATTACTCTTGTGTTTCTTAAGACTCTGAGATCTGGAAAATCCTTTTTCAATTTGGAACTCTGCAGATGTTTTGGTGTCCAACTTTCAAAATGCTGGTTGGAAATAAATACATCTGGGTGTAATCAGGTTGTGAAAGTCTATTTCACCATTTTAAAACCTGTTATTTCATATAAAGCAAAGCTTGGTAATCATTCTCCAAAAAACCATGTTCCATAATAGCTCCTTAGCCTTTTAGATTCCTTGGGTTCAAAGAAATATACCTTTTAGCTCAGCATTGTTTGTAAAAAGATGAAATGCATGTTGTTTGTGCTGATGACCCAAAAGAGATTAGCCAGAAATGCAATGAATATATTAATAAATACATTTATGTGAGGGCTGTAACAATTTGTAAATCAGAAATCAATTCCCAGCAAAAAATGTAAGAATTGCTGATAAAAAATAAGCTCAGGCCTCATCTTTTTTTCCCAATATTTGGAAATCATTGAGATTGCCCTCAGGTCTTTGAAGCAACATTACATGACTGTGGAACAGTCTAGAGAGGCTGTAATGGTGGCCTTCCAATGCTGTTCATAGGGTTGCCTCTGCTCCCTTAGCCCATTCTTTCTTCCAGTAATGCCATCATGTACTTCCACATCTGGACAGAAATAAATAAACATGAAAGAACTCCAAGCATAAAGTTCTCTATGAATTTTCTCCTTCATTCAAGGCACTGCCACAGCCTGAAAGTTGGCTCTGAGGTAGCCATATGGAGGTACACCAAAAAAATAATCATGAGGAGAAACTGAATGTGTCACTTAGAGAGATGGGGACTCCCCCCCCCCCCCATCCAATATTCAGAGAATTAGCTCAATCAGTGGATGGAAACTCAAAATTCAGATGTGACACGATTTGTCTCCCTCATCCACCATTTTTAATACAATTTAGTTAGCATGAGTTAGCCATGGAAATCTAGATTTTATAATACATAAACTGCTGGTATAAATCTGTATTTAAATCTGTATTTAAATCTGTATACTAAATCTAATATTTCTAAATTTAACTTAGAATGTTTCTAAATTTCTGCAAGAATGGACAGTTTATTATTACATTTTTATCCTGCATTTACATATATAAAACTCAAGGTGGCCAACATACCTATTTTCCCTACAACAATCCTTTGAGGTAGGTTGGGCCAAGAGAGAGTGACTGGCCCAAAGTCACCCAGCTGGCTTTCATGCTTAAGGTATAACCACAACTCTCAGGTTTCTGGTTCCTAGGCTAACATCTTAACCACGATGTTCAACTCACCCTCACTTAAATATCAAGTATAGAAAAACCAATGTTAAAAAGCTTTCCCTGTCATTAATCGAAGGTCTGTATAATTTACTGATGAAATCAATCAATCATTTGTCAAAATCCTATGAGAAGTCCCAACAAATATATTTCTGATATTATTTGAACAGAATTGTAGAAATTGCCTATCTTTAACATCTTCCAATTTTCTTTATCTTCCTATTTGGAGATATATTTTATTTTACTTTCTTTCTTTTTCAGACACCGGAAAAATGAAGACAGCCCTGCTTTTCCTCTGTATTATAGGAATCACTTGTGCCTTCTCTGTGAGTAAAAATAACAATACTTTATCCTGGCTAGGATATATATTGTATTGTGAATATTCATTTTAATGTCCACTCATTGCTTTATTACTAGTAATATATTATCATTATTAATTAGTTTGAGAAGTTTTTCCACAACTTAACAGATTTCAAATCCATTATAATATTTTGATTTTTAAAATCTATCAATTAATTAATATTTATCATGCTAATATAAAATAAATTTTCACCAAATGATAAATCATTTTTAGGTTCAGTTCTTTTGGGACAAATTATTACCCATTGATTTTGTTCTTTTTTTAAAAAAAATGCACCTGTTTATTCACCTATTATCTATTTATGCTTTTATGTATTTTTCTTTCTAGCCTTCTCTACATTTGCTTCAATCAGCTTTTATCTCTGGCAATTAACACTATTAATCTACTGGCTGCAACTGATTATTCTGGATGAGGAATATGTATCTATGAATTCAGAATTTTGAATAGCTGAGGTGAACATCTTGATCCATATTGGCTACGTTTGCCGAAAACTGTTTGTACGCATGGTACTTTTGCTGGAGCAATTGACAATTTTCCAGAGTAGGCATTTGATCTCATAAAGCATTTCCTTTAAATTATTCATATTTATACTCCAACTGCACAGCCATGCAGTATCCTTTAGAACAAATATATTTTAAAAAGCAAGATAACCCCATAAAGAATTATTTCAAATTATTTTATAGTAATATAAATTCATAGATCTGTCTGTTTTTATTTTAAAAAAATGAAGCTTTGCCCAATTCCATTTGAGGTACCAGTTGTGCCTTTTCCTATTCCCCTCAGGTGAGGGGAATAGAATAGAATAGAATAATTCTTTATTGGCCAAGTATGATTGGACACACAAGGAATTTGTCTTGGTGCAAATGCTCTCTCGGTGTACATAAAAGAAAAGATACATTCATCAAGAGTCAAGAATCTGTAGGTTTCAGACAACCATTTATGCCCTGGAAATCTGATGGCTTGATTAATTCAATGCACTGTATGTGCGGCTACTCTTGAAGACCACTCAGAAGCTTCAGCTGGTCCAGACCATAACAGCATGGGTAGTGTTCCGCGTGCCTGGGTATGCCCATGTAAAACCTTTGCTTCATGAGTTGTACTGGCTGCCAATTCTCTTCCAAGTGTGATTCAAGATGATGGTTGCTATGTGTAGATGACATTGTTACAGGGCAGGGGTGTCAAACTCGTTTTTGGCTGGCAGAGTGTTGCTGGAGGCCATGGAGGCTGAAAATGAGGCACCCCCTCATTTTTGTCTGCCAAAGTGCATCCATCCCATCTCCCACTCCCACTCCCTGCCCCCCGCCAGCCCACGGAGAACTACAATGCTGATTTGGCCCCCAAAGAAATCCAGTTTGACACCCATGTCATAGGATGTTGTACTTGGGGGAAATCACTTGTCACACATGGTAGCTGCTTGGCTGATTTGATCTAGCAGAGTTGACATGCTCTAAGTCCCATTGATTGAATGATGCCACCTATTGAGGATTTGGAAGCATTTCTTCTCTTTAGCAGTGCCTGCCTCTGAGATAAGGTACTTCCCAAGATCAGGACAGCCTCCGCCTCCTAGTATTTTGAAGGCTTTTTGTTGAGTCTTTTAGTGAGGAATTTTGATGCCTCTTTCTTTCCTTTCCTTGTTCCCATTTCGGTTTCTTTTCTCTGCTAATGTATCGCTGCTCTTTTGTTTTGTGTTGTTTTTGTGTATTGTGTTGCTCCTGGTTTTAAAATGTCTATCAAATTGTAAATCACCCAGAATCCCTGGGAGTCAGACAGCATATAGATTTAATTTTAAAATATTTACTATTATAATTATCCTTCTCATCAAATAAGCACAGTCAATTGATAGGATGTTGGCTATGGAATTTTTGGCCCTGTCAGTCTAAACATGAATCAACAACTTGTTGATTGCAAAGAGCCTAATATTGTATTAGGAAACATGAATCATAAATGTATATTCATTATAGAACAATTATAATAAAACTCACACGTATAAATGCCAGTAATCATTTGGCCAAAATTCTACCCATGCACAGGACGAAAATAAAAGCATATTTAAGGTAAATTAGAGGTTTGCAGAGCTATGAAAAAATTTTGTGGACAAGTAGGTAGAAGGAGAAACAAGAAAATAGAAACCTAAACCCCCCCAATGTAGGTTCAGTTTGTTCACAATAGGCATCAAGGTATTCCTAGGGTCAAAATTCAAGACCATGGCTGCAATGGTGTGATCAAAGTGTAACTTTTTCAAAATGCATTGCACATGGACACACGTGAAAAATACAGGCAGAACTTTGATCGCAAAGTCCCAGCTGCCATCTTGATTTTTTGCCCCCACCCTACAGACCCCCTCCCCTGATGGAGGACAGTTTGCTCATTGAGTCATTGGATGGGGAGGACAAAATTAAATGAACTTGATGAATGAAATGGAGAATCCTGCAGAAGGACACAGCAAGCATGAATTCTTAATATGATGTTGTTCCACGAATCTTTTTGTAGCAAATTCTGTTTGATTTTCTGTTTAATTTCCAAGTCACTACATATTAATAGATTGGCTTTAGTCCATATTATTAGAACCTTACCTCGATATACTGCCCTGTCCCAGGTGACATACTACAAGAAAGCTAATTTGGTACAGGATCCAAGCCACGGGGGAAAAAATGTCATAGGGAAAAACTTGAAGGAATTGAGTAGGTTTAACATCATAAAAAGATTACTTGATTACTCAATACTTTTGTGAGACCCTCAATACTTTCGTGAGAATTGTTAGATAGAAGAATGGATGGATGGGTGGGTGGATGAATGGATGGGAGAGAGGTCAGGAGAATCTATTGCACAAAGAAGTTGCCTAGTGGATCTTCTTTTTATGAGATCAGACTTCATCTAAATATTTGTAGAAATTTACCCTTCCTGTAAGTTTTCAAACAGATACCAAGCAACACCCTAGCCATAAATAATCTAAGACAGTGAGATTGAAACAGAGTGCAATTATGCAGATTTTTTAAGGGGATGCTTCATTTTGAGAGAGATTTGAGAAAAGCACCTCTTAAGGCTGCTTTATGGAATGACACAGTCCATTCATTTCTAAAAACAAAGCTCCTTCTTGTTTCCATGAATCTCATCTGAAGACCTGATAGTTCCAACAGCCTTTTCAAGGACTGGTTGACAATTCAAGATAACAGGAACTACTGGTGCTGTAGCTTTGCCTGAACTTTGGTGAACTGTTTTTTCCTACACAGCACAAACCACTTTGCCAAGGCAAAACCAAATATTTCATGCAAGCCTGTTAGATAAGCAACATCTTTGACCAAACCCACAGTTTCATGGTTTGTTAAACTGAAGACAAATGAAGTATAGAGGTAATATCAGCCAGGTACTTCATCAGAGCAAGTATGATCTATCCTGCTTCCTTTTGCACTTTGCACTGAAATTCTGAATCTGAACGGTGTAATATATGTCCTTTGGAAGATGCACTTCATTTTGTTTCTTAAACTTTGCCAAATTGATATGGTTGGATAAATGGAATAAGTCAAGCTAGCTACTCACTTGTTGGTAGCGTAGATATTTATTAATTTTCATGGAATCCCAAGAATAAGGTATCATTTAAGTTTAATGTTCTATAAGTAGCATATTACAAATAGTTAAAAGAAATCTATCACCTAAGGCAGTTATAGAAACATCCGCACATTTATTTTTAAAAACACTCTTGTTGTTACACTATATTTAGGATATAACTGAATGATAATGATAAAGCAATGGAGTGTAATTATTCATATCCCCAAAGTAGCGATCATATCTTATACTTCCATGGTAAAGGAAGAAATCCTGTTCAATCCAGCAGCTGAATTTTCTGTCAGTTAGCTATGCCATCTAGTGGAAAATAGTAGGAAAAAGAATTCTATGTATTGTCAATATCAGTCTTTTGCCGGATCGCATAATGCATACCTGCATTACATAAACATTAATATTTCATCAGGAAATTGCACAACTCTTGATTAGCAACTCTTCCTTAAATTCAAAGCTATCTGCTATATAACATAAGTGCAAACTAACAATGTCCTAACAATTCCTTGGAATTATACAGCAGTCACTCATTATTTCTTGGCATCTGACTTAAGCTACAATAAACACACACACAACAAATGATTATATTTAGCCTATAAAACCATTGTCCCTTTTCGCCATCAGTTCATTTTTAGGCATGTGCAAAATGGGTAAATTCAGGAACAATTTGGGAACAAATGGGTGAATTTTGCATGTTCCCTCTCAACTTCATTACATGCTTAAGATGGATGAGCAATAGTTCTGAGGTTAAGTTCAGTTCCCAACCTCTTCTGGAAAAACTAAAAATATTCCTACCTGAAACAGTCCAGTTATAATAGTCTGTCTCAGTATAAAGCAGGTTGTTATTGAAGATATTGTTAAGTTAGATCACTGATCTCTCTAAATATTGCTAACTCTACCAAGAAGTAGCTTTGCTGGTTCTAGACATATGTGTTTTCCAGCCTGCAATTTTGTTTAGAGTCACACTATCTCTGTCCTACTTTTACAAGAAATGTTTAAAAAGCAAATTCAGATCCTATAGATATATAGATAGCTTTTACCAAGGGTAGATAATAAAACAGTGCTGTTTACATGCTCAGCATATCATCACTTCGCTCTATGATGGCCAGGTTAATATTCCTTTAGTGTTATTTGCTGTTTCTATAACAGAATACCAAAATAACAAAAGAGTTGGAAGGGATCTTGGAGGTCTTCTAGTCCAACCCCTGCTCAGGCAGGAAACCCATTTCAGACAAATAGTTTCATTTCATTTCAGTCCAGAATCGCACTTTTACTGTACTACTCCTGGATTTATTGAATCTGTTTATTGAAACTGAAAAAAAAAAAAGGGTTTTGATGATTAGAATTGTTTGTGATGATAGAAGTACTGTTTGTTATGCCTTATTCTAGTTCAAAGGACCAGTGATGTTTAAGTTCTTATCTGTACAGAAGAAAGTCAGAAGTTTTTCCTTTTAGTCTTCTGTCTGTTCAGGGATTTTTGTTTATTTGTTACTCCATTTCTCCTTTTAAATCTTTTTCTTTGTATTGTTTTTTGTATTTGATATTTTTTTGAAATTTAATACATTTTTTTCGGGGCGGGGGACATCCAGACCACATTTCAGGAAATTAGTATAGAGGCTGACACCACAATTAAGTTCGCAATACAACAAAAATAAAAGCACTCCCTTTTAAAAGTTATCTCCTCTTCTGTTGTAGTCAAAACACTTCCGGAGAAGATTTAAGTCAGAAGATTCAGAAGAAAATGCAGTAAGTGGCAACATTCTTGAATTTTTATTTTGCTACTAAGCGTAGCATTTTTTTTCCTTTAGATTAAATTATTAAAATGTCTTTCTTTTTATTTTGGCAGGTGTTCAAGAACAGATACAGGCATTTTCTTTATAGATATCCTTACTTCTACCCACCTATGAAAAGATTCCAGGTAAATACAATTTTAAACAAACTTTTAAACTCCAGACGGGGGTTTCCACAGAGGGATGGATCAGGAAATGCAAGATGGCAACTTCAACAGTACAATTGAAGCCTGCCCCACCCTTTTTTGGGGTATGCAACACATGTACAAAGAGAAGCGGGTCTTTGATTGGACAATTGTGGCTGCCATCTTGACTTTTGGGAGATGTGATCCAGATTCAAATCTTTAAAAGCATCCATCAAAATAATATATTTCTGGAAGGATTTCTTTCTTCCATTGTTAAGGAGACAAGTGGGATGTTAAAGAACATCCATAAAGCAGTGGTTTCTTATGGACAAGTTGGGAGTAATGCAGGGGCCTGTTAATTATATGTTTTCAAACATGGGTCATGTAAAGAACTAAAAATTGTCTTCTGGGAAAGGTTGCCTCAGCAGAACAGTGGTTTGGCATCTCTGTTAGGGACAACAGAGATATTTTTATATTGATCAGTGGTTTTGCAGCCTTGGGCAACTTATTGTGTATCCTTCTTGCTTGTCTTATTATTCCTTATGGATAATATAAAGATTAACCCTGAACATCTATAGTTTTCTTAAAAGCCTGGAAGAGCTATTCAGCCCGCACTTTTGGAAAGAAATAATATTTTCTGACTTTTACGGTCGCATGAAAGAAATTGACGTAATCTAAGAGCACTGCAAAACTGCTAAGCCATGTTTAAGCTGGAAAAAATTATCTTTCAAAGGCCTCTTTAGTAAAATAAGCTAGTGGCTTATACAATGCAATCTACACTGAGCTGCAGGGTTTCAGACAGGAGTCCTTCTAGGGAAAATTAGAGATGATCGTAGAATCCAGAGATTCTATGACAAAATCAAATCTCCAGGCATGTTAGTATCCTATGAGAACTTTCAAGGTTGACTGCTGAACTAATATAAACACTACTAGCTCTTTAGATACGAATTAGAACTTGGAATATGCAAGTCTGCATGATGGTAAAGAATTCAAAAACTTGCAATCATTGGTTACCTCACTACAAGGTATACAGGTAGTCCTTGACTTACAACCACAACTGACAAACAGATAACAGATAATAGATAACAAATAATCAGAGTAGGAAGAGACCTTGTAGGTCATCTAGTCCAACCCCCTGCCCAAGTGGGAGACCCTACACCATTTCTGACAAATAGCTGTCCAATCTCTTCTTGAAAGTCTCAAGTGATGAAGCTCCTACAGCTTCCGAGGGCAAGCTGTTCTATTGGTTGATTGTTCTCACTGTCAGAACTGAACCCACCCTTTCTGTTGCTAAGATAAACAGTGGTTAAATGAGTTTTGCCCCATGTTGCAACCTTTCTTGCCACAGTTTTAGGTGAACCACTGCAGTTGCTAAGGTACTAGTGTGGTTGTTAAATGAATCTGGCTTCCCCATTATCTTTGCTTGTAAGAAGGTCATAAAATTCTGGGACGCTGCAACCGTCATAAATATGCCAAGCATCTGAATTTTGATCACATGACCATGGGGATGCTGCAACAGTCGTAAGTGTGAAAAACGGTCATAAGTCACTTTTTTCAGTGCCATTGTAACTTTGAACTGTCACTAAATGAACTACAAGTCAATGATTACCTGTATTCCTGTATCGCCTCTATTTTTTTTTTTAAGTCCAGCAACAAAAACATCTGAAATCTGGGCTCTGAAGTACTGGAAAAGCTACATAGACTTCAGCAGGGGTATCAAACTCCATTTCATTGAGGGATGCATCAGGATTGGGTTTGACCTTGGAGGGCCAGGTGTGGGCGTGGCCATGGTGGGCATGGCCAATGCAACATCACTCATGTCGGGTGCACCTGTGCTACCACGTGCTAAGACAGGACTTCCCCCAGACCCTGCCTCACTTTCATTACAATCTCTCTCCTTCCTTCCTTCCTTCCTTCCTTCCTTCCTTCCTTCCTTCCTTCC